AAGCACAACTTTCAACAAAGATAAAACCTTTGCTTTATTCGTTTTCTTCCGCAAGTTTTGTGATTTTTATGAACTGAGAATGGTATGAACAACGGAAGGAAATGACCGAAGCAAAGAATTTATCTTTGTTACAAATTGCACTTATATTTACTTTATTGTTGGTTACATAATTTATATGTACAGTGAAATCGGTTTATGATACTTTAGGACGTGCCTTTTTAATCACAATACTCGGCTGATAGCATTAAATAGAAAATAGAAACTTTTCGTTATCGAAACTCAATTTATTACAAGCAATTGCAGTACAAATGTGTACGGTTTTATTGACCACACACTGTAAACTTAATTTAACGTTATACATTCAAATATTTTACATTTTTTGCAAAAAAAAACTCATTAAGTTGTCAGATCAGAAAATTAAACTAAAAGAATCGCAAGAAAAATGTTCAGTTCCGAAAAAATCCTTCAAGTAATATTCTGCAAGACAGGACGAGTATTTTTTAAGAATTCTTGTCATGCACTTACGGCATGTAAAAGATAAAAAGCATGCTCCAGTTACAAGTAAGTTTGAAGATAGGATCTATTTAGTACGAAATATCTAACAATACTTATCGTTTGTCCCCCGAGAGTAATTATCACAATTGATAACAATAGCCTAACGTTGATTATAATAAACGTTGTTACTTTACCTAATTTACAGTGTTTTAGGACCGATATATTTTATAATAATAATAGCCAATTGTGATATGATCTCTCATTATAATCAACGTATTTCACGATATATTACTGTTATATTGTTTTAGATTTAATTTTTCATATATAATTTATAAAACAATATAAATTTATAAATTACATTTGTAATTATTTCAAGAAGTTATCAGCATTTTATGTAAATTTTAAACTAATTTGGTTATTATTTTATTTACATTTTAAACGTTGGTACTATTTTCATGAACTAAAGAAATTCAACGAATTGTGTGATAAAATAAAGTTGATACATTGCATCCAGAAAAGCAAGTAATGATTCTTTCGTTAATAATGTAGCCGTGTTTTTTAATTTAATGTATAGAGTTATTTTAAACAGAACAATTTATATTGTAAAAACAATAAATTACGCTATAGAAAATAACGTGTTCAATAAAACCTCGTTTTTTTCATAAAACCTGTACATTACATCATTTAACTGTTAAGCCAATTTGTGAAACCAATAAATTCTTAAAAGTGAGAACAATTACTTTTCTGTTAATAAAGTTGAAGCAATTACTGAAAAACAAATGAATACTTTAAGCAGTTGTAGCATAGCTCATGCTTTTTAACTAGATCTCTCCGTTCGTTCACGGATGCTCCCAAAAATGTCTAACACTTGAAAACTGGATGTGTGCCATGACATATGGGACATGCTGGCTGCACAATACCATGATGTGCTGCAGCAGTTATTTGCTTGGACTGTGAAGACGGACGAAGTCTGGATGTTGGTCTTGATTGGCCAGAATGAATATTGGTTTGGGGAAACAGCCAGTGCTCTAGCTCGTTGTTCTAAAAATGAAGTTATGTCTTCAAATGTTGATTGTTCTGTGTCCTTCTGACAAAGTTCCCATTGCCTACGAGATTCTTGATCCATTTTTTTTTTTGTGAATATACAGCAGAATAGAGTCCCAATGTTGCACTGGTTGCTTTAATACCTTCAGTGCACGAATACACTCATTAGTTGTATCTAGTAAGTGTCGTAACGCAGTGGCTGATTCTTGTGCAATGCTGGGTCGCTCGAATAACTTCTGAATGTAGGAATCAATTATTTCACGATTGTGATTGTATCTTCTTAGCAATGTATTCCAAGCATCCTGATAGTTTCCATCCGTGATGGGGATGGATTGAATCAATAAGGCGGCGTCCTGTCGTACTGACGATTTAAGGTATTGGAGTTTTTGGGCACTAGATAGTGTAGAATTATTATGAACAGTTGCTGTGAATAAATCGCGGAAAGAGAGCCATTCGTCGTACTTGCCGTTAAAAACAGGGAATTCCAATCTTGAAAGTTTAACTTCTGTTCCATTCGCGTTGTTGTGCACTGAACTTATGGTTGTTGAATTTTGTTCAACAGTCATGAGTCGAATGGTCATGGCTTCCACGCAACCAATTAGTGTGTTATATTGAGCATCATGTACAGTCGACCCTCCTATAACACGGTTGATTTTTCCGTTTTATATGAATTCCATGTTGTACGAGTCACTTAGATTTTACAAATACGTGTGACGGGCTGTGAACAGCTCACGTATTTGTAAAATCTAAGTGACTTGTACAACATAGAATTCATATAAAACGGAAAAATTAACAGTGTTATAGAGGGGTCGACTGTACCTCAAATTCGTCTTCCAAACATTCTCCAATAATGTCTTGTTGTAACTGATCGATTTCGTCCAATAATGCGTTTAATTTTTTTAAGATATAGTTGTGCCGTTATTTCACCGAGAGGTTGAACTCCATGTTCCTCTAATATGTTTTCAATTCTAGTTACCCGTCCTTTTAGTACCTTCCTTCTGTTTAAGAGTGCCTCCATCTTGAATTTTCGTTACTCACTGTTTAAGTTTTCGGGTATCCGGCTGGATGTCGATGGATGAAGTAGCTGATGTCTCTATTAGGCTTAACTCTCGTCTACCACACCGGAATCCGCCTCGACGGACCAATTAAATGTCAGTGAGTCTTCGCAATGTTTCCGGACAAATGATACAATGAAGCATAAACATTCTAAGTTACTTTTAATATAAACTAAACCAATACAAGTTGAACAGATAAAAAATCGTCATCACACCATGCAATACGTAGACGCCATCTTTTCCGTCTTTTTTCCCGCTCGTTCTCAAAATCAACAAAAAAAAAAAAATTAAAAACCATTATACACGCGCCCCCTGCCCAAACATACACTTTTTTCTCAACTAATACGAATGATACCGAACACTGATAATGTTCCAAAACTGAGTCATGAGCTGGGCCATCACAACCTATTCAAAGCGGATCAAATATTAATGTACTCCGAAGACTTCCTAAAAGCATCTTTACATTTCCAGGTTATACTGTGAAAAGTATTGTTTCTGGTATTAAATTCAAATGATTACTTCTGAGGACTCGGATATTTTTTCTTTTTAAACAGAATTTTCGTAAAATTAATAATTTATTATACAGTATTTTGAACTTTTTCTCATAATCCAGGGTAACGCCAAGTAAGCTAGTAAATTTCTAAATTTGAATTTTTTAGGATGTAGATGCAAATACACTTGACCAAGCTCCAGAATTTATTGTGGNTTAAAATAATTTATAAGTCATTTCATCAACCTTATGAAAATTCAAAATATATTTCTCCAATGATTGCATTAGGGGAAATCAGTATTTTGAACTTTTTTTCATAATCCAGGGTAACGCCAAGTAAGCTAGTAAATTTCTAAATTTGAATTTTTTAGGATGTAGATGCAAATACACTTGACCAAGCTCCAGAATTTATTGTGGAAAGTTTAATCTTATGAATATTAATATGAGCAGATCGCAAAGATAACTATTACGGGGCACGCAGACAATCGAAGAACTACAGAAATTTTTCGTTGGCGATTTTCACATGAATATGTCGGGTTCTATTCTTTTCCACCAGTCGCATCTAAGATGGGTCTGCCTGAATGTTGCAGGATATTGTTGAAGATAAAAGATAAAAGAAAACATAACGAGGTAAGAATTGAGGAAAAATTATTCTTATACATTTAGCATAGAAATTACTACAGAAAATTTGAACGACTTTTAAAATTATGCATTTTTTAATACGAGCATTAAACCATAAAAATTAATGCAAAAACTTTTGATTATGAAATCACTGTTTTTTATACCAATATACAAAATGGTCGAGAAGTTAGTTAACTAAGAAAAATTAACGTGTAGGGTCCCGTTTTTTACTATTCGGTTGCCCATAATGGACATGAAAAAATAAGTCCTCTTATTCGCTACTCTGAAAAGGAGTGTTAAAAGTGTAGCAGCTCTTCACCGCCCTCAGAAAAACTATATATATATACAGTAGAGAGTCGTTTATCCGAATCAATTAGGGACTGGGGTTATTCGGATAACTTATTTTTCGGATAACCAATTATTTACGAAAAAAATAACCTATTCCATGATTAAAATTTTTTTCGTTGCGTGGCGCTTCGCGTTGAATTTTCGTCGATGTTCAGCCTAATGTAAACTTTTTAAAATAATAATCGTGGCTATTGCATCGTTAAAAATTATTTCTTTATTTTTTACAAACGAAATAAATATATTGAAAAATATTTTAAAATATATATACTTTAGAAGTTAATCTAGTATGAAAAACTTTCGATTCAGCATGGCACCACACAGAAGTGCCAATGCTGCCAGCTAAAACACACACATCAACAAAAAAAATATTGGAGTAGCCCAAGATATAACCACAGATTGCAGCGCCAGAGCACTAGCGAAAATTTAAATTTTCCGACTGGAATTCTTTCGGATAACCGATGTTTCAGATAAACGACGCTCTACTGCTTATGATTTAAACTACAAAACAATTGAAAATATAATTTTTTACAAATCACTTAATTTATATTAAACTTATATTGTATGATTTATGCAAAATATTAAATTATGCAATTTTCTTATCCGGGACCTTAACATAATTATGCTGTGTACAATTGAATATTTTTGAAAATAAGTGATTTACAACTATTCTAATATTTATATTAAAATTTTATTTAAGAATTAAATATTAAATAATAGAAAATTAATTTGTTTATTTTTTAAAAAATTGAATTGGAGATAATTGAGTAATCTCATGTATCAATAATTAACAAATTTTAAATCAAAGAAAAAATATTAATTTAAATATAAGAATTTATGTTGGAATAATTCAATATATCTTCAAAAATGTATGATTTATAAATAGAAAATTCATTATCAGTATCTAAAATTTACAAAAAAAAATATAAGAAAATTTTTTATTACTACTGTTTATTTTTGTTTAATCAAATGTGGATATCGAATAGCTCTTACATTTATACGAAAATTCTTCTTAACTTTTGATATTTCTATCGTCATTAACACGAAGAAAAAAATTAATACTGTAAGATTGCAATTATATTTGTTTTTCGAACATCTACTGCAATAAAAAATAAAAATAACGAACATAATTATCATTAAAATGCTGACAATTACAAACGTTCTTAATGATGATATATTTGTAAATACTAAATATTGTATTATAAACAACTCAACTAATGACAATATACTTTTCTGAAAAAAAAGTTTCATTAATAAACACTTTAAATTTTGTTTTCTGTAATTCGTTGTTCTATTTACGTACACACACATTTTGCAGAAATTTTAGTGATACAGTAAAAAATAATCATATTCTCGTTCAGATTTTGCTTTTTTTCAGAGAAACTTTTAACTTTAAAAATATAAATCAACCGAAAAGTAAATATTATTCATAAGGTTTCTGTCACCGATTAGAATTTTCTCTTCAAATTTCCTGGCATCTGTTCCTTCGTCGCTCACAAAGTAACTCAGTTCAGGTGAAAACTCGATATCGGGTTGGACATATTCAGCGCGGTAAAAAAAAGCAAAGAAACGAATTGACCAATGTTTTTTTAGATACAACTTCGTTAGCAGATTTGCTACTCCTTCTGGATTGCAAACAGATTCAAATGTAAAATACTCGTTGTCCAAATTGTTAATATATGCATTTACGCACATTGGAAAACTTTCGCCAAGCTTCACCGGAAATCGAAGAGCCGTGACGTAACAATCTTCTCTCACAACTACTTCGCTGCTAAAATATATGTAACCTTTCATCTTGCCGTTTGCGACCCTAAAAGGATCTCCACGATTTATGTAGGAGAACAAATTAAGATAATTTATTCCGCTTCTTGTTTTTGTTTCTCGACTGAAGTAACTGGGATAAAAGGAATAATTAGCAGTCTTAAAAGCACGCCAGATATGATTCTTTTCTACTTCGTTTAACAAGTTCATTGTAAAAACACAAGATTGCAATTCGTCTTCATTCATGGCAAGAAATCTGACTTTTCCAATAAATGGCTTCATGACATTTCTTATTTCATTTCTTTTCGACTCTTCATTCATCGAATGAAAGTTGACTGCACCTAATATTCTTTTAACTTCCTCTATGCTCCACTGATACACGGCTCCGAGTAAACGCAATTCACTGACTGATTCATATATCGCTCGAGATAGTAGTCTATCAATTGTTGCAATTTTACAGCACATAAAGTCGACTGTTGTAAATAGTTTTCCTCCGTGTTGGTTGAAAGCTACCCAGCAAAAATAAATTATGAACAGATCACTGATCTCACATGCAAAATCGTGGATTGCACACACGGTATCCAGTTTTATTTTCCGAATGATAAATGACCTGCACTTTTTTCTTAAATGGTCTAACTCGTATCTTAAAGTTAGATGATACAGATCGAAAGCGTGTTTAATAGAGGTCAATCCGGGATCTTCCGTCTGTACATAACTGTTTAAAAAATATAAATTATAATTTATGACAGTGTATTGAAATTAAATGAAAGGTAAGTATCGTGAAAAACTTACGTAACGAATAATTTGATGATCTCGATTGGATAAGGCATAAACAGTACTTTTGAATTTTCAAAATATATAATATGAAGTTCCAATTGCCTGTTCAGGACTTTATTTAACTGAGCTTCTGATATAATAATTTCTTCGTTTTCTTTGTTTTGGATTCGTATCTCACTCGAAGAAATCCTAAACAACAAAAAAGATATTTATTATTACTTTCAAACAAACATATCTGTTGTACTGTACGTTAGTTGTAGTATTTCCGATAATGGTGTATGAATAATATATGCATGACTAATATTTTAAAAATAGATATTAAAATTTTTGTATTAGCAAATCATCTTGATTATCGCGAAACCATCAAAATCGATGTTTTATTTTTTAGGAGCTATCTTAGCAGAAAACGCTGCATTGTTTTAAAAGAAAAGACATCTCTATTCTATGAACAAAGAAGTATTTCCTGATATATCCATCAGTAGACTGAGGAGGAGCGTAGACTAAAATACAATCCTGTTAATAGAATAAAGATATCCATGCATATTTTAAAGAACACGCTTTGTATGATAGATCAGAGTTATTATTTGATTATCAATAGTTGTTAATACTAATATGAATACTTTTGTTAATGTAAAGATTTTTGTGTATGTGTATTGTTTTTGACGGAGTATGGAAGGTACTTTTGCTAATTATTTAAAAAATGTATCTTCAATACTTCTTCTATCACTCCCCGACTGAAACCTTTAATAAAATTAAAAAAAACAAAAAACTTCTCTAAAGTTTTAATAATAGAAAATTTGGTTAGTGTTCAGGGTCGTAGACCGTCATGGCGGCTCTTCCTGTTTTAGCCTCGAAACCGGACAGCTTTGGAGACGACGCGAGCGAACGGCGGCGGCTGCTGCGCCGCGATAAACGGGGAAAACCGACGCGCGGGTTAACGTCCATATACGTAGACTCATGGCGGCTCATCTCTGATTCCGCAAAAAGAAAAGGAAACAGTCGGGACGCACGTTCTAACCTAACCTAACCTATTCTAATAATATAATTGGTAATAATTATGATAATTTATCAGAATAGGTTAGGTTAGGTTAGAACGTGCGTCCCCACTGTTTCCTTTCGTTTGCTGGAATCAGCGGGGAGCCTTCAGCGCTGCCGCGACGCAGCAGCCGCCGCCGTTCGCTCGCGTCGTCACGTGACACGTCGTCTCCAAAGCGGTCCGGTTTCGAGGCTAAAACAGGAAGAGCCGCCATGACGGTCTACGACCCTGAACATTAACCGAAAATTTAAATAATCCAGGAGTCGTGTGGAATAATTTACTTCTACGAACAATAATTGATTTTTCTGTAACCTATCGTAATTTGAATTTATTCCTGGAACTTTCCATGATTTTGTTATACAACCTTAAAGCTTGAAAGTAAAAATTACGCTTACATAATATTAATCGATCAATTTCCGTTGTAAAAAGTGATTAAACAAGTTCTTTAAGAGGGGGAAGCTGGTGATTTTTTCTCGACCCGAAAACAACTTATGAAAGTCTCATTTCACAAAGAATTAACAATTACATGTTATATTCAGTAACAGATGATAAAATCTTTAGGTCACTTATTTCGTATGTTGTAAATAAACGGACATCGACGCCCCGTAATTAAGTAAAAATTAAATTTTATCACCGTGTGTGTTATTTATTCACACAAAGAACAATTACAGGTTTACATTACAAATTGAAGAAAAAAGAGAAAGCCTTTAAATGATAAGTTATTAGTTAAAGGCCCACCTAGCGCGTCGAGTCACATTGCTCGTGGCTATTCCATGCTGGGTGACATCATGTAGTTTTTCGTCGCTTTCAAGGGAAAAGGAGTGTATAACGTAACATTGTCATACTTATATATTCAGAATGAATATATAAGTATGAATGTATGAATATATTTTATGTGAAAACTGTAACGAAAAGGATAAACTACAAAGGCTCCAGATTGGGCCGCTGGCTAAATGTACTAGTGAGCTGGAAACGTACAAGAGATTAGATAGAGTTGATGTTAACACGATTTATATGTTATATAACTACGTTAAACAACTAATTAAATAATAATTATGACAAATTATTAATAAAAAGGATAAACTACAAAGGCTGCAGATTGGGTCACTGGCTAAATGTACTAATGAGCTGGAAACGTACAAGACATTAGATAGAGCTGATGTTAACACGATTTATATGATATATAACTACGTAAAACAACTAATTAAATAATAATTATGACAAATTATTAATATAATTATATAGACTAGTAAATAGAAAATATTAATATTGTTATAAAAATTATTATATGAGATGTTAATATGTGTTTCTTCAAAATAAAACGCCCTTGTAACAGGCGAAAGCTTTCTACGCCAATAAAGATTACTTACTTACTTACTATTCATTCTAAACATGATTTTTCTTGCTTTGTAAACTGATAAATAATAAACCGTTCGAATAAGTGAATTTCTCTAATTTTATTTGGTACTTTCATGTGAAACTTGTAAGCATAGAACAAATAACGTTTATAAAGTGCTGCTTTAACACGTATTAGATCAATTGTTTTAAAACATTTCGATCTTAATATGAATAATTACAAACAATATATATTATTAAAAATATTGGCATCAAATTAATTTTAATCAAATCTCTGTACAAAATGTAATTTATTTTCTTTCATTCATTCAACTGCCTTAATTAAACAAATACCACTTTTACACGTTGATTAACGAACTTGTTTAATTACTTTTTAAGATAAATGATAACTGATTAAAATTATGTTAGCATAAAGACATTTTACTTTGAAGCTTTAGGCTTGTATAACAAAATAATGGAAAACTCCAGGAAATAGTAGTTTGGGACTAGCATTATTAGTTATAAGAGTATACCATACAATGACCTNTCTTAATATGAATAATTACAAACAATATATATTATTAAAAATATTGGCATCAAATTAATTTTAATCAAATCTCTACAAACTGTAATTCATTTTCTATCATTCATTCAACTGCCTTAAACAAATAAATACCACTTTTACAATTTAGAACTCAACGTCCCACCTACTAGTTGAGGAAACTGAGGAATCCGCGATTTACATGTTGAGAAACACTGAACTTCCCGAATTAAATCTTGTAGAAAAAAAATGAGTATTAATCTTCTGTATATTAAAAAGTGAACACAGCTTATTAACTCAAACTTTAAACACCGAAAATAATTTCACCAAGAGTAGGGAAATTGTAAGCTACTTAAACCCTTTGACTCCTAAAAGTGGAACAGTCTATTTCTCGAGTTCGAACATTGTAAACAGATGGTTATTTACACAAGGGAATAAGCTTTTTGTGAAGTTTTGCTTAGTCACTGTCTTTGGTAAGACAATTGAAACTTTTCTTAATTAAATACTTTTAGTTTAAATATTCTAGAAAATTTATATATAAAAATTTAGTAAGCGAATGTTAATTTGACGCGAGCATATGTTATGAAATAAGTAAAAATAACAAACAGAAAATTAACTTATGTCATTTATCACGTTATATTTTATGCTCTCGATAGCAGTACATCATCGCTTTCTTTCTCAAATTTTTTATAAAGTAGAAACATACGATACTCAATGACAAAACACGTAAAATTATTTTGCGCCGACACATATAGAAAAGCTATAAACAGAAAACAATACAAATACTTACCGACTCTGCACCTCTGAAACTGCCATTTCTTCGGCTCGTTTCCGCACTGAACTCTCGAGTATGACGTCGAAGAACGAAGACAACACGCGATTAGAAGTAGAAAGAAATCATCATGCTAATTGGCTGCAGATGCCACATGACTTTACGTCACCGCCTCTCCGTAGGAGCACTTAATTTTTTAATTGCATTACTTGTATATTCTGTATATCCGACATTAAAACTGGCCTTATACGTCTATTTATTACGATCTCACGTATCTAAGAAATTAGCATATAACTAAGTGGACCATTACGTACTTACGAGTAACAGCTTGACGTTCAAGTCACTTCACAATCAGTTAACACCTTTATAATTTACATTGTGGACAACGGGGAAGGTGGTGTGGTCTGGGAGTGTTAGTTTCATGTTGGCATACTTGTTGTTTCGAACCCTTTGGAGTGAATGTGGTTTTCTTTTTACACCGTAAGTTTTTAATTTGTTATATTGTCCGGTAGAAAAGCTGAAAGTCGTAGAAAATGGTTGGGAATTATATTATTTCTTTCAAATTTCAAACTTTCAGAATATTTATATTAATTAAGAATCTCTTTGCTTATGATATTTCATGTGAGAATTTAAACTGTATTTGTAGGCAAACTTTTTGTAAACAATAATCGGAGTTAATGGTTTCTCTCCCGTATGAATTTGAAGATGTCTTATTAGATTGATCTTTTATGTAAATCTTAATAATCAGATATTCCTTCAACTAAGCTATCTCGTTAATTAATTTATAAGTAGCAAAATACTTTATAAACATTCTTAATTAGCACAAAAAAATAATCGTGGTTTTAATTTATTTAAAAATAATGTGGTGTAATGCTGATCCAAAATATTACACATCTAGAAACATGATATACATCAAAACATTTTGCTTGTAATTTCAATTAATGAAGCTTTTAACATCTATTTTATACGATTTCCCGCAACACTCCCAGGAGACACTTTCCATCTGTCAATTTAATGTGTTTTAAAAAGTCATTGTTAATTTAACTTTACATTATGCCAATAGAAAATTCGACATAAAAGTAGCCAATCGCCTCGATGATCCATTCTCACTTCTAAAAACATGTGATGCCGGATTAACCACCCACATGTAGAAGCAGACCTATACTATAAGTTAGTGTAGAAGACACCTGTTTAAGCTCCGTAGAAAGTCTTCTAGTAATAATATACAAGACAGGTATTTTCTAAGAATTGTTGTCATGCCCTTACGGCATGTAAAAGATAAAAAGCATGCTCCAGTTACAACTAAGTTTGAAGATAGGATCTATTTAGTATGAAATATCTAACAACACTTACCGTTTGTCCCTCCAGAGTAATTATCACAATTGATAACAATAGCCTAACGTTGATTATAATAAACGGTGTAACTTTACCTAATTTTTAGTGTTTTAGGACCGATATATTTTATAATAATAATAATAGACAAATGATCATATAGTCTCTCATTATAATCAACGTATTTTACGATATATTACTCATATTGTTTTAGATTAAATTTATGAAATATAATTCATAAAACAATATAAATTTGTAGATTATAATTGTGATTATTTACAAGACGTTATCAGCATTTAATCTGAATTTTAAAGTAGTTCGGTTATTATTTTATTTACTTTTTAAACGTTGGTACTATTTTCACGAACTAAAGAAATTCAACAAAATGCTCGATAAAATGAAGTCGATACATTTCATCAAGAAGAGCAGTAATAATTCTTTCATTAACATTTTTTTTAAGTTACTTTCTCCCAATTTACCGTCGCCCATTGCGAATCGCCCCGTTCTGTACTCGTTTATCACGTTTTCTCTCGAGTAGAATTAATATTGAAAGTAAACCATATATTTATATATCAGTGGCGTGAAGTCCGTGGAAGCCGTGGAACCGCCGTTTTCCTTGTATTTTCTAAAATATAAATATAAGTATTGTGCGTTTATTTTTATATTTTAACGTACTTTGAATTAATTAAAATTAATATTTTATTACCACCGCAGTATGTATCAAATTTCTATACTATATGATAAGATTGCCATTGTATATATTCGAATAGAAATTCGTATATGTATATTTCCAGTGTAATGTTTCTTTTAGCTTTTAAGTTTCCCTTTCATATGTGAAGATAAATTCCCTTCCTTGACTCCTACACTTAAACATGGGGTGCGAGAATAGACATGATAAACGTAAATTCTTTCTTCATATACATCAATAAAAACTATAAATAACGAAATTATTTAAAATTTATTAATTATTCCCGCTAAAAATTGCGAACGACGAAGAAACGTGGTGCGGAATTTTGCTGTATTAAGTAAATATAGTTTACTTGTTGAGTCAAAGAAGTAATGGACCGAATATAATTTGACCATAAAGGAACAGATTAGGGATTTCACGCTGTTTTAAGTGATAATGGCTTAAGGAACCATTAAAGCTGAACGAGTTGATTCCCCCGAAATTCTGGGAGTAACGCAGGTAGGTCGAATTGTAATCTTCGTGGTAGGGTTCAGGTTAAGCACGTTTGGATGGTGGAGTATTATAACGGACAGAGGAGGCGTAAATAACGTGTCACATCACACTACTTGAAAACTTCGCTTGCCACAACTATATGACGTCTCTGTGACAATAAATTATTATAGATTTGTCGTCTAAATTTATCAATACAAATAGAAATGGCTTATATTTGTCTTAATTGTTTTATTTTATATAGTATATTGTCAAAACGTTTGAGCCCACCCACTAAAGTTTTTGCATTTAGTCAGAATTAATAAAATACGAAGTTTCATCTCAATAGAATGACATTAATCCTTGCCGACTTGAACGCTTAACACGAACACGAGGATGAGTGACGTGGAGGATATTAATCAATAGTAAAAAAAAATAAATAACAGAGAATATAAAAGTTTTCGATATAGTAGATGTCTCTAACATTCAATTACAAGACTTGAATATGCTGGGCGATGTTTCTTGATATATTTTTCGATAATCTTGCACACGAGTCAATGCAAACTCCCTTTGTTCTTCATTCACAGTCAATATAATCCGTGAAAGTTTTGCAATAATTTATATAACACAAAGACTTTCCTGTTCGATAGTAAAATGTTTCTTTGGAAACAACAGTTGTAAAATGCGTTAGAGCGACTTTTCTTAAATCGTGTTGGCGACGAAATTAGGCATGTGGATGGAAGAGGATTACCATTAACTGCCGAACAACAGTTATTAACGGCATTACGATTTTATGCCACCGGAAGCTACCAGAGGGTATCCGGTGATCTTATCGGAGTTCACGTCTCTACTGTATGCAGGTATCTATCAAACTATTATTAAATAAATTTAAAAAGTTTTTTGTATAGTGATAGAGACGCTTATAAGAATGAGGTCTTGTTTAACGTTTCTATTAAGTTATATATTGCATTATTTATTAATTATTGTTAAGTCATTATCAGAACCGTCCAAAACGTCTCAAAGGCATTAGTACATCTAAAGAATGCCGAAATTTTATTTCCGACGCAATCCGAACTTCCGACTATTACGCGCAATTTTTCTCTATTATTTAAGGATAACTTTTCAGGAATAATTGGGGTAATTGATTGTACTCATATTCCTATTCAGTATCCTGACAGCAGTACATCTCAACTTTTTTATAATAGAAAATCCTATTATTCTATTAACTGCCAGGTGAGAATTATTTATATACAATATCATCTTTACTTAAATATGCGATTTTCTTAACCTCATAATTAAGTGAAATTTCGATAAAATGTAATAAACTGTAATTTATTGTAGCTTAAATAACTATTAAATATACAATGGCCTATATATTTTTCTAACATTGTTATGTCTTGTTATGAAACAGTTATATTCTTGACTATTTCCTTGACATATGAAATTACAAATATCAAGTAATATCTTTGATACCTCAAACTGATAACTTTAATGAAAATATATAATTGATGCATGTTTAAATGTATATTTCAGGTAATATGTGATGGAAAAATGAAAATTAGAAACATTGTTGCTCGGTGGCCCGGTTCAACACATGACAGTAAAATTTTTTCTAACAGTAGCGTTAGAGAAAAACTACATCAAGGATATTGTAATGGATATCTGGTTGGTGACAGTGGGTATCCGTGTTTGCCATAATTAATGACCATATTTTTACACCCACAAAATTATGCCGAAAGACGGTATAACAAAGCTCATTCACGAGCAAGAAATATCGTCGAGAGATTATTTGGGGTCTGGAAAAGACGATTTCCGTGCATTGGAAGTTGTCTAAGAACTAAATTAGACAACACGCTAAACATAATAATAGCCACAGTAATTCTACATAATTGGGCCATTGAATTTAAAGAGGAGGAATTTCTTATTGAGGAATTAAATGAAGAAATAGAGGAAGAAACTTCAAGAATGAATGAGTAATCTGGATCAAGATCTGCTCTTCGAAGATCTATTGTACTGCAACATTTCAGTTAAATGAAACAGTATTTTAGGACTTTGACAAAAGGTCCTTTTCAGGACCATACAATTTTGATAAAGAGTGAGTCTATCATAGACAAAATAATTCTCTTTTTATTCATTTTAAATAAAAATATTACTTAACATAACCTATGTAACAAATTAAATAAACATTCTAACAATTGTTTTATTCATCCATATTTCCTCAAAAAGATTTAAATTATGATTTCTGTACATAATTTTATGTATTTCTTGCTCCTAAAGTACAGTTCCATGAGGCATTGTTGAAAATGTTTATATAACATTCAATAAAACATTCAAAAAAAACCACCATGACAGTTAAAAATGATGACATCTCACCCTAGTCATGATAATTTTAATTATTATTATGATAAATTAATTTTTAAGAGACTTTTAAGTGGTGTACCTATACTTTTGTAACAGACTACCTTTTGTTTATCAATTAGAGCATACTACAGTGTTTTTCACAAATAGTACAAAAAGTCAGTTTTAATTTACTTAACAAGTATTAAATGAAATTTATGTAATCAAGCAAGTTAATCTATAAAT